ACAATGTTAAAAACTATTAAAACATCAAATAAAAAAATAAAAAATATATAAAAAAATAAAAATAAAATATATCATTTTCAAATATATATATAATTTTCAAAAAGGTAATATACACACATGGCACAACACAAAAGAAGTGCAAAGCTGATGTCAACAAACATCACTGCCTCTCCCCGCTGCCCCTCAGGTCCTCCCCAGAGGCCACTCTGGAGGGCGTGTCTGTTCCCGTGAAGGAAAAGCCACGCACCCAGGGACATGGGTGAACCGCAGCCTCTCCACTGGCACCAAGCCCTCGAGTCTGACTGTAGCTCTGGATGCTCCCATGTCAGACTCACAGGTCTGCCTCCTTCTCGGAGGCTGCTCCATGTCCCCGGGAGGCAGAACAGCACGGCCAATCCCCAGATCCTGTGAGTACGTTTCTGTTACGTGACAGGCAGGCAGAGGGACTTGGCAGATGCGATGACGGCCACAAACGCCAAGGTAGGGAGAGGATCCGGGATTACCAGCTGGGTAACGTAGGCACATGAACCCTTAAAGGCAGAGAACTTGCTCGGGCGTCTCCAGAGGCAGGAGGGGGAAGTCAGAGGGACTCCAAGTGTGAGAAGGACTCGGCCCACCTCTGCTGGCTTTGAAGATGGAGGAACGTACCCTGAGCCAGAGAATCTAGGAACTGCCTCAGGCTACAGCCGGTGAGGAAAGGAAACTCACTTCCACAGCCACAAGGAGCTGGATCCCGAGCACAGCCTGGATGAGTGGGCAGCGACTTCTCCCTGGAGCCTCCCAACAGGAGCCCAGCCGGTGACACCTCGATTTCGGCATGTGGGACCCTGAGCAGAGCACCCAGCTGAGCCCGCCCAGCCCTCTGACCATATTGTCTACAGAACAGGAGACAGTAAATGGGCGCTGTCTGATGCTGCTACATTTGTGGTCATTTGTTGTGGCGGCAGTAGGGAATGGATACAGCGTCCCACTGCGCTGCTCTCTGCATTAACTAGTGCCCGAGTGATACAGACCTACGGTATTTTCAGTCTTTTGCTGTTAAGAAAGCTTCACGTTACTTTCCTTGAATGTTTGCCTGTGTGCACGTGTAGCAGAGGATAAACTTGCTCTTGAGTCCTGAGTTAAGCTCCTCTGTGGCCCAGTGCAGGGGCTGCGTCTACACCATCCACAGGACTCGGAGAGCTGGCTCAGGCAGCCCCAGGAAGGCACCAGGACCCTCCCTGCAGGTGCCGTCTGATTTTGGGAGTTCTGCAGCTGTCACCTGCCTTGTCCTGAGCAGGCTGTGTCCTGGATCTGAGTTGACGGCGGGGGTGAGGCGGGACAGGGGCCCCGGCTCCCTGTCTGCAAGGAGTACACAGCTCTGCACTCCGGAACCAGCAAGGCCTCACTCTCCACGGTGTTCTGAGCGCTGCTCTTGAGGAAGATGGCTGTAGGGCAGGATTGGCCTGGGACAGCATGATCAGCAGTGAGTGGACAGAAGAGGCAGGACACAGGTGCGTGCACCCCGGCCCTGCTAGGCCCCTGGCTGGGACCTCTGCCTCACCAGCCCCTTCCTTCCGCTGCTTCGTGCTGTGGCTGGTGGCCTCTGGTGCTCACGTGCTTTGGTGGCCACTCCTGCTGAGCCTTTGGCTTTCCCAGAAGGGACCTTTGTGACCCGCAGTGTTGGGCTGTGACACAGACTCAGCCCTGGGGTCAT